TAAGTCCATTGCTACTATGTTAGTCAAGTATTTTTACGGAAATAATACCATATACATAAAATTTCCTGACATTTCGCAGATATATTAGCTAGTAAAATGCCAACCCAGAACCACAATAAATGCCTTCTAAGCTTAGTCGAGGCATTTTATCGTTGACTATTGGGAGGATGATAAAATGATTCCATGGACAGGAGATTTGCCTATTCGAAACCCATGATTCTTAAAGGCGAAGACCCTGCTAAATACAAAGAATTCTATCTCGCTCCAGTTAAAATATATATGGAATACTTGATTTCATAAAATGACAAGAAATTTGTGGGCCATACTTTAAAATTTATTGAAGATAATAATCTCATATATAGTGCTTTTACTACCTGGGAAAGGGTAACACTGCCTCTACGAGCGATGTCCAACTTTTCCTCCGTAGTTGGATATGGGAAGTCAACGTGTGCTTGATACCAGAGTTCCATGGTGTCAACAGCATTCCGATTCAATGGCTTATTCCTCGGTGTACTGCACCAACGATTGAACCGGCTTTCCTTAATCGGGCATCTATATTGTGAACCTGCATAGCATCTGACTTTAGCCTCATCTGATCTCAGTGGATCTTTGCATTTTTCTGAATTGCTGATACTATGAACGTCTAGCTTTGATATGCCACAATTAATAGCCATATTTGCAGATGGAGAAGAATAGGGCCCTTCCAGAGAGGGATGGGATTCGGCAAGAGGATCGTTGCTGGAAGTCGTTGGCTTGCTCTCATTAACAATGGAGTAGGATAAAGCGGATGAGGATAAATAGGAAGCCGGTAGAGAGCTTGTGTAAGAATTAGCACACGGAGAACCGACTAAAGGTAAGCTGACGCTTTGGGAAGCTGTATTTGGCTCGGGTAAATGCTGTATTGCTGGCAATGACTGAACTAAGTTATGATTAGAAGTATTAATTGGAATAAGAGTAGCCGGTCTTGTGGAGTCATAACGAGTGACCTTTAGTGTAACCGTCCTGTGCCCCACTGGGAAGCTTGTCCTTGCATGAGGGAAACCTTGTCCAATTATCGAGTCAACATCATGTTGAGAGGTACTTGAGGAAAGTTCCGAGCAGTCTGGAGCAGACGAGGTGCCTTGAGATTCCACCACAGCCGATAAAGATGATGGCGTATCAACGTCCTGACTACTAAAGCTGTTAGACGAACAATTTGAGGGCTGCTTAATTAATAAGAGAGGAACATTTGCTGGCAATGGCGGCGCAACTGAAGCAATTGCTGCATGTGGAGTAGGTGTTTCAAGACCAAAGATTTTAGGGTGCATGAGAATGGCCTCATTTTTTGGCGCATTTTTGTTGTTTTGCAGTAGACCCCCGTCAGAAAAGCTCAGAAGCTGTCCGAGAGAAAAGGTTGCTAAATCAGTGTCGGAAGCAGCCCTCTTTCTCGGATAACTTATAGGATCTTCATCTGCCGATAACTGGGCCGTCATGCTTGAGGATAAAGAATCTCTGACAATTAACGGTTCCTGAAAACTAGACCATCCCTCGTAGTGAGTAGGAGATAGGGGGGGCAGTGTCCTGGCTGAGACATCCATGGATTCTGAAAGATTCCTCCCGAAAAGAGTATGAAAGGAGGGCAGAGCGCGGACAGATTCGAGCCAAGGTCTTGCATTGCCTTGAGAATTATTTAGTAAGAGCGTTTGAATATTATCTGGAGAAAAGGAGATTCTATTATCAAGTGACTCCGGTATAGAATTACTTGATGGAATTGGCCCGCAAGGGGAAGAGGTCATACGATTTTCCAGACCTACATTATCAGGACTATCACCTTCCAGAAAGTTCTCTTCACCCATTAGTAAATTCGCATAATTGTCAACAGGGAAAGTGACTTCATCAGCGCTGGAGATTATCTGCGTGGCGGCATAGGTCTCCTGAAAAGCAAGTGAGTTTTCACGGTCCTGGCCTCCATAGGAATCTTGTTTACTATCTTCGGGTTTCAGTATCGTACCGGCTTCGTGAGAACACGTGAAGCGTTCTTGATCATCTGTGCAAAAGGAAAGTAGTGCTTCCACTGCATCGGCTCGTAAGTCGTCCATCATTGGATAAATCGGTGATAAATAAAATTTTAGCCGTATCTAAAAAGATGAGATGATTCCATAATAGGCAACAACAACGACTTCTTCTATGCTGGCTCTATTGTGAAAATTCGCAAAATACCAGTTTTAGCCTTAAAAAAAACAAACTTTTCCCTCCTTATAGATACTGATCACTCAATTCAATCTTCATTAGTTAGTTTATATTAATTTACAATTATTTTATGTTTTTGCATCACTTACTGCCTCAATTTTAATAGACTATTTACATTCAAGCCCCTTTATGCAAGATAATCCAAAAAAATCTTAAGAAACTACGTGGATTTCATTTAGTGACATTAACTACGCCAAAAATAAATAAAATATTAAATAATGAGCAATGCCTATTACTATAAAATTATAATCGATCCTAGATCATGTAAAATAATAACGAATAATAATTAAAATTTAGGATGCAACCGTAAAGTGGGTGTCTTGGTAAATATTACGGATTTTTAATAGGATATAAATAGGGGCTAAATGAAGTTTCGTGTGTGCATTTGAAATGTTATAAATTATATTGTAAATTTTTTATTTGCTTATAATGATCCAAAATTTTAGTATAATTTCATTAAATGTCTTACCTTTTGCTTGACTGAGTCAAAGAGGAATTTACTTTCAAAGCATGGGCATTACTTATCCTGAAATGGATGAAATAAGGGCTACTGAACTAAAAGATACAAAGTATTAATTGTCGGTAGGTATTTTCAAATCATTGGAAAAATTGCCCTTGCCTTTCTACGAAGATGACCAATAAATGCAACCATGCACTTGGCCGAAATCAAGTTCAAATGATAATCTTGACTTCGCGATCTACCCCAAGCCGGATGACCTTTAGCCACTATTATTTAGCCAGACCTCTGAGGCGAAAACGGCCATATCGGAATCTTTTTTAAATCAATAGGGCCACATTTAAACTCGACTCACTAGACGCCTGGGGTGAAGAACCAGAAACGTCCAGTCGGAATGGAAAAAGGGGAGTGGGTGTTCGGAGGGGGATTGGGTAAGAAGTCTTTGGTCCGAGCTGATATTCGCATAGTCATGGCGGCCAGAGAGCTTTGTGATTATGGCCTGTTTTTTATGAATTTGAGTTGAGTTAACCGTGCACCAGATGGTCGATTGACAAGGATCTACGTTCAATCAGGGGGCTGAGCTCAATTACAAAATTTCTGTTTGTTCGAGCAAGTAAAATTTAAATCATTTTGTTTATAAGTGGCACCTAGGAAAGGAATAGAGGGTGTCTGGGCGATCGAATCAATTTATATTTACTGTCTTCCAACAGGTGATAGTTTGCGTTGTATTTTATATGTTCTTGGCTTTTAAATGAACACTGAAAAGCACGGCTGGGGATTATGTGTTAACAATTGTATTGCAGAAATGAATTCGTTCAGCCTTTACTGTGAGCAATATTGCAGATTCCGTCTCTGAAATTCAGCAGAGGCATATGCATTATTAATAGACTTTAAAAGAGGTCTAGCCTAACAATTATGCCACCCTTTTTCAATTAAGTCGTTTACTCGTGTAGGGAAGAAGACTTGTAATGAAAGATAAAATAAATGCTTAGTTTTATATTTTATGTTGCCACTGCAAGTGGGCCGAAAAGCTCGCCAGTATTTCGCGAGTTATCTAAATGGATATCTCCACATCCAGCGGTTTTCCTTTAATAATATATTCTTGCGCCATTTATGATTAGATATCTCATTAAGTAGGTCCACCATCAGGGTACAATTAGGCGCCTTAAATGGTTTATACATCTTATCTTCATGCTCTCTTGGTCAAAGGGCCACTAATTAATTGGCAGTTAGTGTGGTGGCCGCCGCACAATGCATAGAAATGCATTCATCTTTCGTGGGTTCATTTTCAGAAGCCTCAGTGCACGAGCCAACTAGCAGCTGATGACATTATATTTTCGTCAGTCATTATAAAGATTATTCAGCTTTGACTGGTTTCATCCGAATTACTTATCAGTAATTCATGTATATAACTAAAGCGAATTATATATTCATACACAGGAAAGAAGGAGTAATGATAACACAACTGTTAGACAGATGAGGTTTACTTCACTTGCTGAGACTGGCAAGACTCACTGGCAATGGCGACTATGGTGCTGGCGAAACGTCTGTGAACGTACCAAGTACACAGTCGGATGCTAGTACGTATTATAGCTACTATTTT